AAGCTACCTGGTCGTATTGGGAACATGCTTGTTCTTAAGTTATAGCTGTATTGTTGCGAACATGCTTGTTCCAGAGTAATCCGGTCGTTATTCGGAGCATGCTTGTTCTGAAAACTGTAGTTGAATTGGAACATGTTTTTCTTAAGTCTAGCGCTGATCCCCATCAACCTATGGGAATACGACACCTATCTAAGTATTCATATATAAGGTCCCGCAGTAGTATCAGCAGTTTTCGCATTGCTCAATAGCTAATTACCCTCCTCCATCCCCAGCTCCTCCTTTGTCAGTCAGGATTCAGGCTTCTGATTCTCCTTTGAATCAGACTAATTCTAAAATGTGTACATAATATTATTGAACTTTAACGATATCTGCAATACATTTATGTTGGTTCTGTTCTGTTTACCCCGGGGGGGTTATCGCTGCTCTCCCTGCTCTCATCCATGCTAGGCTGCATGTATGCGCAGGGAGTTTTTGCTCAGAACGGAACCATACCGCCAATCCAAACTGTATGCTAATTGTCAATCATCTTTGACGATAGTGGTCCTGACAGAAATACTACTAATGCTTATGTTCATATTAAAAAGATGAAATATAAAAAATAATATTCAAATAAACACTGGGAATGCCAGTGAGCAAATGACAGTATAAGTGTTTATTTTTATGTCGTATGTATAATGGCCCTGTCACAAGCTTAACCAAAATGATGCCATAATAATTTAACTACTGTGTAACTCTGTGTTTGATTAGTTATTGTTCTTTTCTTTTCAGCCCTACTTTGCTTTATTTGCAGCTGTCCGGTGGCTTCTGACTGAATTTGTCATGTAAGACTCGTTTCTGTGATATTTTGAGATTTGGGGATTGAAATATGTGTATTCCATTTTCCATGCACATATCAGGACATACAACAACAGGTGTCTGTTTGACGTTTAGTTGAAAATATCTAAACATCCTAAAAATATGTATCTACAAAACTGGATACATTTGGTTTGTTTGAAATAATTGCAAAGGTTTTACCAGTAGGAAAGGAATGGGAATACTTATCCTGGGAAAACATTTATTTTAAATATTTTTTATGCTATTTTTAAAAATGTTTTATGGATATTTGGATATTTTAATTCTAAAACAATACAAGCATAATGAATGATTTTTAGCAATATAATGTGATGGCACAAACAACATTTACAAGTGTCATAGGCGGTAGTATCACATGGATGGGAATATGCTCATGGAAATAAAAATATTTTAAAATCTTTTCAGATTTGCTTTAGTAATGACAACATTAAGTTTACAGTGTAGATACCAAAGTATTTTTTTTTTGTATAATATATTATAATATGGTTTGCTTTTATAATATGATGAAGTGTCTCAGGTTGGAAAGCACACATAGGCCACATTAAAATAACAGTACTGTACTTCTCACTCTTTGTTTTGGCCACTTTTATCTATGTATTTCATTCATTCATTTATTCATTCATATATACATGAATTCGTTTCTCTCTTTTCAGCACTTGCTTTCAGTATTGTTCTCTTTCATTTGCTTTTGCAGATTTCTGGTTGAGTTCAACCTGTACAGTTGGTGGCACTCTGACCTCACCATTAAGGGTTTGTATGTTTATGAGGATGTGTGTGTGATGTGTTGACGGCATCAGATCTAAAAGCACATTATATGTACATTATATGTAAGTGAAGATTTCAGAAGGTTGCAAGATTTTTTGCATATAACTAGTGCTCAAGGCACAAGGTTGAGGTTTCAAATGTGCACTGACAGCAAGATTATGTGCTCCATTACTTGTGATTCCATGACTGTAGCTTCACACTGTCACCATGTGCAGTGCTACATTTCAGTTGAAGTAGAGTGATGTTTAGGGGTGCAACTCTACTCAGCCACATATAGCACTTAATACTGAAGCACTGACTGTGAGCCAGGCTTTATTTGCCAATATTATGGCCCAACCTCTCTAAACCGCCTTCAGTTGAATAAAAACTCATTTCTGACGAACAAATGACGAACTAACTCATGCTAATGCCAGCGGATGTTATTTGGAAAGAGGTGAATTAAGTACTTTTTGGATTACATAACAGAGTATCTTGTATGCAGAAATGTGCTTTCTAGTGAAGCCACTATGAATATACAATTTTGCTGGCTGAAGCATGCAGCTCAATGCAAATAAAACTACCGAATTCACAGAGACATGATATATTCAGAGCAAAAGGAAAAATGTGACCATGTTATTTCTAACAATTCACTTTTTTTCCCACTCTCAAGTAATCAATTTATTATTAAGATATGTAACATGTTGGTCACATTAAATTGATCATTCACAGCATCATGTATTACATCTGTATGCATTCTGAGAAAAAATCATTCATCAATCATTCATGTCTGTCCATAATTTTTTACAGAATTTTCTGTCTCTAAAGTGATACAGATAAGCCTTGCCACAGAAAAACATTCGAAGCACAATGTCTCTCTCTTTGTTTTTCTCTCTAGCTCAGAGAGGAGGCAAAACTATGTTGGTTCCTTGTGATAAAGAGTATCCAGCATTCGTGTCTGAGCGCACCATTAAAGAAACCGTCGGGAATATTGACTGTGAAAGCTGTGTAAAGTAAGTGCAGTACTCCGACACACAACAATCACATAAATTCATGCGCAAGCACATTTCTGTCATGACAACTCTCGGAGGGATTGGCATGGTAATGTACATGACAATGTTAATGTATTTGGTCTTGGCGGAATAGATCTGCTACGCTGCTGCTGCTGCGGCAGAGCAAGTACCGAGACTTGCTACTGCCAATACATCCACAACATGCTGCTGTGAGCATATAAGGAATATTGCTGCTGAAAATATAACATACATGAAATAACCCCCATATAGCATACATGAATCACCTCGTAGCAGATCTATACAGGTGGAGCTGGGGAAGGTGGAGGGTTTCTGAAGCAAGCTGCACTGCTACGGCAAGCACTAGTCATATATTTGAATGTTGAGCAGCAAGCTCATTGGCTACTGATACAGGAGAGAACCAATCAGCTGAGCCATGTGATAATGATGTCATTAGGTCAGATTGAGTTAGACCTATCGGACTGCGCCATCTAGAGTTTCATGCCAGAACTCTGTATATACATAAGACAGTTGGGGTCAGCTGAAAGATATCAGACAACCTTTATAGTCTGTTCACTCACATAGAATTGTTATTCGCTTGATTCAGAATTATATGTGAGTGAACAGACTACATTTACACTTATTGTACTGTATATACACTGCCACTATCTTTCATACCTTGCCACAAATTTTATTTGCTTGTTGTCTTTGTTTGCTCCACAGCATGTTGTATGTAGCAACAGGGTATCTGTCTACTGAACAACTTGCATTGTACATTTACATCATTAATTGCTCAGCTGACTATAATGAGTGATATAGTTTTGTTATGTGCATGAGTGAATGATGTACAAGATAATGAAAGAAAGAAAAAGGGGCCAACTCAAATATGTTCTTTGTGTGTATTACATCATAACAGGAAGCTTGATAGAAGTTTATTTCGTCTGGTAAGAGGAAACAAAATACCAAATTAAAATAAAAGCCAAGTATTTGCAATCCTTGCCTTTATAACATTGTTGTAAATATTCAAACAGCTAATGTTGGAATCCTCTCCACTTTGTTGGCAATCATGCGTTTCTCCAATGCAGCAATTAGTTAAATTAATTACGAAACCATAAGATTACATTTTAGTTGTCTTATTTTTATTTATTTATTTAATGCGTACTGTACATACCTTGGCTTTTCTATGTTTGGTAAGACTTTATTTTGATGGTCCCTTTTGAAATTCTGTTGACTATAAGTAACTTGCAACTACATGCCAACTAACTTTAGTCTTTAGACTATTAGTAGACAGTTAGGTTATGGTTAGGGGTAGTTTTCTATAAAGGTACAGTCTATGACAAAATTGTAGACAGCTTTTGTGGATTTTCTAAATGAAGAACTCATGAATTCCAACACAAGCTCAATGCTTCCAAAACAGGCAGTTTTTGCAGTGTTACAGCATGTAACTCAAACAGCACAACAAAAGCCACCCTACTGATTTGAGGTCAGACTGACTGTAATATGCCATCATACATACATTGGTGACTTCTGTTACTAACTTTTATCCAAAGTAAGAGAAAAGACTATGCTAAAGAAAAAAAAAATCTTAAATCTTTAACCTGTTTGCATTCAAGCAAACATGTGCGGTGTATGTCCAGTATATGAACACTTGTCTGCCTACATAGTGTACTGCCACCTCTTCCTGCAGAGGACGCCCTCATCAACGCTTATTATGTGGAGCAGATAAAAAAGTCATTTGAATCTAATTGGCTGTCTCCCCTCTTGTCTTGTCTTTCCCAGATCGTTTGTTATTCAGCAGATTCCCAGCAGTAATCTTTTCATGGTGGTCATTGACAATACATGTGACTGCAGTGACTTTGGACCTGTCAACATGGACCCCATCGAAATTATGTATATCCTTAATAAAAAGACAGTTTTCTTAGACAATGCCAATTAACCCTTTATTTTAACTCGCACTGATACTACAAACAGCAGACTAAAGCAATGCTTTCTTTTTTTAGACACTGTCTCTGTGCTCAATGTTTTCCTCTGTTTTGACAACTGTCTTTTGTCATGTTTTTCCCTTAATTTCATTGCACATAACGAGTCTCTGAAATGTGAACGGTTGAAGTTTCAGAAGGAGAGAAGGCGACCAGACACATGCCACCCCTTCCATCATGAGGTACAAAAACAAATCAAACTGAGCTGAATGAATGGATTGCTAAAGAGTTTTAGCTGCACACCTGTAACAGAGGTACAGCAACTATAACCATTCAGTGCAGGAAATATGTTATTTGCACACCAGTCCAAATTGTAACATGCATTATTTGCATTTGATTGTATTCAATATTTCATTATTTTTGCAAGCATTTGTAATAGCCATTCCTAGGCACCATATTGTGACATTTAATAATCTACAACAAAGTGAAGCTTAATTTAGAGTAATAATGAATAGAATAATATTTGATTACTACAACAAATCATATGCTGAAAACTTTTTTTTTAATTTTTTTTATCTACATTCCATTTCTGCAACTTCATAGGTGAACATTGGGATCAATTGTGCTTTGATGGCTTCCTAAAGAATTTTCCAGGTTTTTGACACAGTCATAGAGTTTTGACACGCCATTTTGTCTCTATATGATCCATCTGCAGGAAAACTCAATGGAGTGTGGTGGTTCTGTGGGCTTGACTCCATCACTAATATCTACAGTTCTTATAGTCCTGATAGTCACCATCTTTCCCAGGTGATGAAAACAGATTTTGACCCATACGTCCTCCTCGGTCATGCCAGTTTCACTCGGTCCAGCATGCAAAAATTGATTATATAAATATTTATTTTACATTAAAAGATTAAACAAATCATCAAAATCACTTGATAGACAGCTACATAAAGCTTTTTTTTTTTCTTTTTAATAATATTGATATTTTATGTACACGTAGATAATAGGCAACATTTTACAAATAAGGCTACAAGAGACTGATTACTGTGCTAATTAATTGAATAAAAGTACAATTCATAAATATCTACAAATAAATACAATTGTGTCATAAAATCAGCTTTTTGTTCTGTAATAAGTATTATAATTTATGATTTCCAGCCAAATTACTGTGATAATGCAATAGTAAATATACAAAAGTTGATGTTCTAAATGAACATTGCCTTACACAAAAACATACTGCAGTTTGTATACTTTTGAAATAAAATCTTTAAAAAATACAAAGAGAGCAAAGATGTGAATTGATGTTTGATATTTATTTATTTATTTCTTTGTGTGCATTGCCAGTGTCTGCTTATGTCTCTAAAAATCTTAATTCCATGGCTTCAGCAGGCTGGTTTGTAAGACCTGAGTCTTCTTGCAGGCTTTAGGAAGGTATTTCATATTTGGTATGTTTCTCAAAACCTCATAGGGTCCCTCCCACTTGACAAGCTGCCAGATGTTGGCAAGAGCAGTAAAGTCAGGCAATACACTGTGCAATTTCAGCAATGTTTTGTTAAATACTAACTCTTACTGAAGTAAATTGCATGTGATGTAAAGCCAAAGCTCACAATTTATGTGCTCAGACTATATGGCCCTATCAGCGAACTGCGACTTTTCACACTATACTTGTGAAATAAACACATGGAACAACTTCTGTGAACTATGCGGATCCATACCACACACTATGTCACCATTTTTTTTTACACCATTTTTTTTGTCACCCAGAGATTAGGGCAATCAGTTCGTACCTCTTGTTCAACTGTGAGATACCTTCACAAGGGGCAACCAAATACATGTCAGAAATTCATGCAAGCCTTCAGCAAGACCTTATGGCCAGAAACTTGGGTCTTATCATATATTCAGATAATACATACATACATGCATACATACATACACATCTGACATGAGAACAGAAAAA